TGTCTCTGTATCCACTATCGTGTCTCTGTATCCACTACCGTGTCTCTGTATCCACTACCGTGTCTCTGTATCCACTATCGTGTCTCTGTATCCACTACCGTGTCTCTGTATCCACTACCGTGTCTCTGTATCCACTATCGTGTCTCTAGTATCCACTACCGGGTCTCTGTATCCACTACCATGTCTCTGTATCCACTACCATGTCTCTGTATCCACTACCGTGTCTCTGTATCCACTATCATGTCTCTGTATCCACTACCGTGTCTCTGTATCCACTACCGTGTCTCTGTATCCACTATCGTGTCTCTGTATCCACTACCATGTCTCTGTATCCACTATCGTGTCTCTGTATCCACTACCGTGTCTCTGTATCCACTACCGTGTCTCTGTATCCACTACCGTGTCTCTGTATCCACTACCATGTCTCTGTATCCACTACCGTGTCTCTGTATCCACTACCGTGTCTCTGTATCCACTACCGTGTCTCTGTATCCACTACCATGTCTCTGTATCCACTACCGTGTCTCTGTATCCACTATCGTGTCTCTGTATCCACTATCGTGTCTCTGTATCCACTATCGTGTCTCTGTATCCACTATCGTGTCTCTGTATCCACTACCGTGTCTCTGTATCCACTATCGTGTCTCTGTATCCACTATCATGTCTCTGTATCCACTATCGTGTCTCTGTATCCACTATCGTGTCTCTGTATCCACTCTCATGTCTCTGTATCCACTATCGTGTCTCTGTATCCACTACCATGTCTCTGTATCCACTATCGTGTCTCTGTATCCACTATCGTGTCTCTGTATCCACTATCATGTCTCTGTATCCACTATCGTGTCTCTGTATCCACTATCATGTCTCTGTATCCACTATCGTGTCTCTGTATCCACTATCGTGTCTCTGTATCCACTATCGTGTCTCTGTATCCACTATCGTGTCTCTGTATCCACTATCGTGTCTCTGTATCCACCTATCGTGTCTCTGTATCCACTATCGTGTCCTCTGTATCCACTATCGTGCTCTGTATCCACTATCGTGTCTCTGTATCCACTATCGTGTCTCTGTATCCACTATCGTGTCTCTGTATCCACTATCGTGTCTCTGTATCCACTATCGTGTCTCTGTATCCACTATCGTGTCTCTGTATCCACTACCGTGTCTCGTGTCTCTGTATCCACTATCGTGTCTCTGTATCCACTATCGTGTCTCTGTATCCACTATCGTGTCTCTGTATCCACTACCGTGTCTCTGTATCCACTACCGTGTCTCTGTATCCACTATCGTGTCTCTGTATCCACTATCGTGTCTCTGTATCCACTATCGTGTCTCTGTATCCACTAGCGTGTCTCTGTATCCACTATCGTGTCTCTGTATCCACTACCGTGTCTCTGTATCCACTACCGTGTCTCTGTATCCACTATCGTGTCTCTGTATCCACTATCATGTCTCTGTATCCACTATCATGTCTCTGTATCATCCACTACCGTGTCTCTGTATCATCCACTACCGTGTCTCTGTATCCACTACCGTGTCTCTGTATCCACTATCGTGTCTCTGTATCCACTATCGTGTCTCTGTATCCACTATCGTGTCTCTGTATCCACTACCGTGTCTCTGTATCCACTACCGTGTCTCTGTATCCACTATCGTGTCTCTGTATCCACTATCATGTCTCTGTATCCACTATCGTGTCTCTGTATCCACTATCATGTCTCTGTATCCACTATCGTGTCTCTGTATCCACTACCGTGTCTCTGTATCCACTATCGTGTCTCTGTATCCACTATCGTGTCTCTGTATCCACTATCATGTCTCTGTATCCACTATCGTGTCTCTGTATCCACTATCGTGTCTCTGTATCCACTATCGTGTCTCTGTATCCACTACCATGTCTCTGTATCCACTATCGTGTCTCTGTATCCACTACCGTGTCTCTGTATCCACTACCGTGTCTCTGTATCCACTATCGTGTCTCTGTATCCACTATCGTGTCTTTGTATCCACTACCGTGTCTCTGTATCCACTACCGTGTCTCTGTATCCACTATCGTGTCTCTGTATCCACTATCATGTCTCTGTATCCACTATCGTGTCTCTGTATCTACTATCGTGTCTCTGTATCCACTACCATGTCTCTGTATCCACTACCATGTCTCTGTATCCACTACCGTGTCTCTGTATCCACTACCGTGTCTCTGTATCCACTACCGTGTCTCTGTATCCACTACCGTGTCTCTGTATCCACTATCGTGTCTCTGTATCCACTATCGTGTCTCTGTATCCACTATCGTGTCTCTGTATCCACTATCGTGTCTCTGTATCCACTACCATGTCTCTGTATCCACTACCATGTCTCTGTATCCACTACCGTGTCTCTGTATCCACTACCGTGTCTCTGTATCCACTATCGTGTCTCTGTATCCACTATCATGTCTCTGTATCCACTATCGTGTCTCTGTATCCACTATCGTGTCTCTGTATCCACTACCGTGTCTCTGTATCCACTACCGTGTCTCTGTATCCACTATCGTGTCTCTGTATCCATTACCGTGTCTCTGTATCCACTACCATGTCTCTGTATCCACTACCGTGTCTCTGTATCCACTACCATGTCTCTGTATCCACTACCATGTCTCTGTATCCACTATCGTGTCTCTGTATCCACTATCATGTTTCTGTATCCACTATCGTGTCTCTGTATCCACTACCGTGTCTCTGTATCCACTATCATGTCTCTGTATCCACTATCATGTCTCTGTATCCACTACCGTGTCTCTGTATCCACTATCGTGTCTCTGTATCCACTACCGTGTCTCTGTATCCACTACCATGTCTCTGTATCCACTACCGTGTCTCTGTATCCACTACCATGTCTCTGTATCCACTATCGTGCCTCTGTATCCACTATCGTGTCTCTGTATCCACTACCGTGTCTCTGTATCCACTATCATGTTTCTGTATCCACTATCGTGTCTCTGTATCCACTACCGTGTCTCTGTATCCACTATCGTGTCTCTGTATCCACTACCATGTCTCTGTATCCACTACCGTGTCTCTGTATCCACTATCATGTTTCTGTATCCACTATCGTGTCTCTGTATCCACTACCGTGTCTCTGTATCCACTATCGTGTCTCTGTATCCACTACCATGTCTCTGTATCCACTATCGTGTCTCTGTATCCACTACCATGTCTCTGTATCCACTATCATGTTTCTGTATCCACTATCGTGTCTCTGTATCCACTATCGTGTCTCTGTATCCACTATCGTGTTTCCGTATCCACTATCGTGTCTCTGTATCCACTACCGTGTCTCTGTATCCATTATCGTGTCTCTGTATCCACTACCGTGTCTCTGTATCCACTATCGTGTCTCTGTATCCACTATCGTGTCTCTGTATCCACTATCGTGTCTCTGTATCCACTATCGTGTCTCTGTATCCACTATCGTGTCTCTGTATCCACTACCGTGTCTCTGTATCCATTATCGTGTCTCTGTATCCACTATCGTGTCTCTGTATCCACTATCGTGTCTCTGTATCCACTATCGTGTCTCTGTATCCACTATCGTGTCTCTGTATCCACTACCGTGTCTCTGTATCCACTATCGTGTCTCTGTATCCACTATCGTGTCTCTGTATCCACTATCGTGTCTCTGTATCCACTACCGTGTCTCTGTGTTCACTACCATGTCTCTGTATCCACTATCATGTCTCTGTATCCACTACCGTGTCTCTGTATCCACTATCGTGTCTCTGTATCCACTATCGTGTCTCTGTATCCACTATCGTGTCTCTGTATCCACTATCGTGTCTCTGTATCCACTACCGTGTCTCTGTATCCACTACCGTGTCTCTGTATCCACTATCGTGTCTCTGTATCCACTATCGTGTCTCTGTATCCACTATCGTGTCTGTATCCACTATCGTGTCTCTGTATCCACTATCGTGTCTCTGTATCCACTATCGTGTCTCTGTATCCACTATCGTGTCTCTGTATCCACTACCGTGTCTCTGTATCCACTATCGTGTCTCTGTATCCACTATCATGTCTCTGTATCCACTATCGTGTCTCTGTATCCACTACTGTGTCTCTATATCCACTATCATGTCTCTGTATCCACTACCGTGTCTCTGTATCCACTATCGTGTCTCTGTATCCACTATCATGTCTCTGTATCCACTATCGTGTCTCTGTATCCACTATCATGTCTCTGTATCCACTATCGTGTCTCTGTATCCACTACTGTGTCTCTGTATCCACTATCATGTCTCTGTATCCACTATCGTGTCTCTGTATCCACTATCGTGTCTCTGTATCCACTACTGTGTCTCTGTATCCACTATCATGTCTCTGTATCCACTATCGTGTCTCTGTATACACTATCATGTCTCTGTATCCACTATCGTGTCTCTGTATCCACTACTGTGTCTCTGTATCCACTATCATGTCTCTGTATCCACTATCATGTCTCTGTATCCACTATCGTGTCTCTGTATCCACTACTGTGTCTCTGTATCCACTATCGTGTCTATGTATCCACTACTGTGTCTCTGTATCCACTATCGTGTCTCTGTATCCACTATCATGTCTCTGTATCCACTATCGTGTCTCTGTATCCACTATCGTGTCTTTGTATCCACTATCATGTTTTCGTACCGTCTGTTGTTGTGACGTCCTGACCCACCCCGACTGGACATCTGTGAAAAAGAGCATGCATAGCTCATCGCATCTTTCTCGTCTGATAACTCTCCCTCTGTCCGCTCAGGCGGTGTCTGTGGTCATGGCAACTTGACTCACAGTTTGGAAGGTCCGGGAGTTGTATGTCTGTGTCTGTGTACGTTGAACTTATTTGGCACCGTACGTAGTCAACCGTGCTAATCGTATGTGTAGGGGTCGGACAACAAACTAAACACAAAAAATCAGCTGTAAAGAAAGCAGTTTTAGATCTAGATATGAAAGTGCATATCTCGATTTGATTCCTAATATCGAAAGGAAGATCGTTCCATACGGCCGCAGAAGCGCATCTGGAAACGCCACGCGATGCGGTGACCACCGCCTTCGTTCGCCGGCCGGCCAGAAGCCGCCGCTCGCAACTGCCCACTCCGCCTCTCCCGCAGACGACTTCTCGATGCTGGCGCAGGTGGACACGGAGCCGTACGACATCTTCGGCTGCTGGCTGGGCCGCGACACCTTCATGTCGGGCTTCATCAACCACCACGACATGTTCTGCCTGCACGTGCATGGCACGGGCGAAGTGGACACGGGCGGAAACGTTCACGCGGTGAGGCAGGCCCACGCACGCACTCGCACAAGCACGTCCACAGCTCGCAAAGCGGTGCTCAGAGTCAGAATATTGTTTACCTCTAGAAACATGTGGAAGAAAATGGGATCCACGTCTTGCAAGTATGAATTTCCTCCAGATTTTCGTCGATTTTTCAGATTTCTCTAATGTACTGAAAATACACCAGGTGATTTCTAAGACTTGCAATAAATTAAAGTGAATCTATCGCTATGGCATTTTATATTCCTTCCTAGACGACAACAAGATAGCATTAACTTAAAGTTATCATTGGATGTAGCACCAGAAATATTGCCCAGCTGAGTTTCACTGCCACACGTGCAATACACTTTCAAGGACACGAGTTCAAATCCCGGACGGGGAATTTGACTGAACCATCATCATCATAATCAATCCTGGCTTGCTAAACCGAGTTATTTTGCTGCTATGAATTGCCACGTAAGCCACTTTGTTGAGCGATCATTTGTGACCAGGTCGCTTCTGAAAAATAAGCTCAGTGGGTTTTACCAGGTAAGGTAAACAAATGTTTGGGTTTGCTTTGCACTCCTGTCATGTGTTTGTGTTGTTTGTCGTAAAGTTCTGACTGCTCCGACTGGACATCTGTGAAAACGAGCTTTATAGCTCACCAGAGTCCTCCAGTACAGAGACTCCTCCACTTATGAAAATTCGATTTAGGAACTTTCAGAGATACGAAAATACTTGTCCGTATGGCCAGTTGCCTGTTTGGACCGAGAGTCATAAGTTCAACCGCCACGCAATAGATGGCGGTGGTGGCATCTGCAGAACGTGAAGAACCTGTGGCATCTACGTCTACTGGAAATTAGACAACTTTTGAAGCCATTCCCCATGTTTAGTGTACACGCCGTACAACATGTTTGGAATCGACAGGAGTAAAGTTGGGCTTGCGAACAAATCGACTTAAGAACAGATCTCCGCAATCTAACTCGTGCGTAACTCGAGGAGTCCCTGTGCACATAAATCCTCCGATTTCGAGAAAATTTTTCGTTCTTCTTCCGTCAACGTAGGGTGGTCCTCTCCCCGTGTGGCTCCGCTCCGCTCCCCAGAACCAGAACCAGCAGGGCCACCGGCTCTTCAAGTTCGCGTGCTCCAACGGCTCCTACCCCCGCATGCTCATGGTGGCCACCCCCGGCGAGGGGCAGCCGAAGCCGCCGCCCCCGTCCGGAGGCCCCGCCGCCTCCGCCGCCAAGGGCCCCTCGGCCTCCTCCGGGCGCCCGTCCTGGCTGCTGGGCGGCTCGCTGCTGCGGCGCGACCACTACACCAGCAAGGCAGCGGCGGCGGCCGCGGTGGTGCGCAGGCGCAAGCACCAGCACGCCATGAGCAACGAGCGCCGGCTGCCGCCGCGGGAGAGGTTCCTGGTGTACGGCACGGGCGACCTGACCTACGCCTCGCACCAGATCGGTGTGCTGCTCAGGGACACTTTGCTGCAGCCGCGCTCCCATCCTGTCTCTCTGCGGCCGCTACTGTTACGTTCAATACTATTCACTGTCAATCTCTCATCCTCCCTGTCTCTCTGCGGCCGCTACTGTTACGTTCAATACTATTCACTGTCAATCTCTCATCCTCCCTGTCTCTCTGCTACTGCTACTGTCACGTTCAATACTATTCACTGTCAATCTCTCATCCTCCCTGTCTCCCTGCTACTGCTACTGTCACGTTCAATACTATTCACTGTCAATCTCTCATCCTCCCTGTCTCTCTGCTACTGCTACTGTCACGTTCAATACTATTCACTGTCAATCTCTCATCCTCCCTGTCTCCCTGCTACTGTTACTGTCACGTTCAATCCTATTCACTGTCAATCTCTCATCCTTCCTGTCTCCCTGCTACTGCTACTGTCACGTTCAATACTATTCACTGTCAATCTCTCATCCTCCCTGTCTCTGCTACTGTTACTGTCACGTTCAATCCTATTCACTGTCAATCTCTCATCCTTCCTGTCTCCCTGCTACTGCTACTGTCACGTTCAATACTATTCACTGTCAATCTCTCATCCTCCCTGTCTCCCTGCTACTGTTACTGTCACGTTCAATCCTATTCACTGTCAATCTCTCATCCTTCCTGTCTCCCTGCTACTGCTACTGTCACGTTCAATACTATTCACTGTCAATCTCTCATCCTCCCTGTCTCTGCTACTGTTACTGTCACGTTCAATACTATTCACTGTCAATCTCTCATCCTTCCTGTCTCCCTGCTACTGCTACTGTCACGTTCAATACTATTCACTGTCAATCTCTCATCCTCCCTGTCTCCCTGCTACTGCTACTGTCACGTTCAATCCTATTCACTGTCAATCTCTCATCCTCCCTGTCTCCCTCCTACTGCTACTGTCACGTTCAATCCTATTCACTGTCAATCTCTCATCCTTCTTGTCTCCCTGCTACTGTTACTGTCACGTTCAATACTATTCACTGTCAATCTCTCATCCTCCCGTCTCTCTACTACTGCTACTATCGCGTTCAATCCTATTCACTGTCAATCTCTCATCCTCCCGTCTCTCTGCTACTGTCACGTTCAATACTATTCACTGTCAATCTCTCATCCTTCCTGTCTCCCTGCTACTGCTACTGTCATGTTCAATACTATTCACTGTCAATCTCTCATCCTCCCTGTCTCCCTGCTACTGCTACTGTCACGTTCAATACTATTCACCGTCTGCGTCATCCTCCCTGTATCTCTGCCACTGCTGTATCACATTCAGCACTTTCGCTGTTGCCCCTTGTCACTTCATCATTTATGCGATTCCTGCTGCAATGGTCAATACTGCATGCACCGCTGTGAATCGCCCCGAAATTACCCCCAGAGCAATCATCGCCCCCAAATCATTGCCGCTCGGGGGACGGCCGCCAATAGGGGGGGACCCGTGCCGTGACGTGACACGATAGGTAAAGCACAGACCAGACGCGAGCTCATTCGTCCACCTACACGCGTTCGGTGAGAGCCCGGTGCCTTTTCTGGGGTGCGTCTTCCCCCTGAGTAGTTGGGAGCCGGGTGAAGCACCTCTGCCCCCCCCCCGTAGCCACTCTGACTATTCACCCCCTTCCCCCCCTCGGTCAGGAGTCAAGCAAATCCCGACGCAGCCGCACGAGTACGTGAAGCGGGTGGACGGACACCACGCGCCCGACCACATGCTGGAGCTGCACGGGCAGATCATCGGCATGGCGCTGTCTCCGGACCACAGGTCAGAGAGCAGCAGAGGCATCGCGGCGGTGCCGGTGGAACCGTAGGTCGGAAGGGGGTTCGCGCTCCTCTTGCGCCGATTCTGGAGTCTGTCTCGCTTGTTGTCCTGCCCCCGCACCTCCGATTAGCGCGGTTGGCGACGTACGGTGCGAAGGAAGTTCAACGTCCACACGTGCGTAGAGGCTGTGGGATAGTCTGCTCCTCGCTGTTGTTCTGGCGTTTTGTTGTGTGGGGACGAACCGATGCCCGTGCCGGAAGCGCTGAGACTATCCTGGGCTCGACACCTGGCTTCAGAGCGTTGACGCGGCCGAGTGGTCGCGCGCCTGTCAATGGCTGCAGAGGTTCACGGTTCGAGCCCTGCGGCCGCACTGGTTAACATTGCGGGCGTAGGAGCCATAAATACTCTGTGCCGTCTCAGCCCGGATGCGGTTGGCGATGTAGAGTTGTACGTCAATCCACCGCTCGGATCGAATGTGCCGCCCAGCGTTACAGCGACGGGTTGGCCACGTTGGGTGCGAACGAAGTTCAACGTACGCACGTTTCCTGGCGGCCCTGTAACCCCCCCCCCCCCCCCCCCGTAACCCCCCCCCTTGCGGGTTCTTCGGCGGCGGGCGGCCGAAACCCGGACCGTGCCTGGACTTGCCCGCCGCTGCGCAGGTTCCTGTACGTGAACTGCCGCGCGTGGCCGGCGGGTTGCGTGGTGACGGAGCCCACGGAGCCGCCCGCCATCTCGCGGGACATCGACACGCGCGAACTCGAGCTGCCCACGCTGCGGCCCACGGGGCGCTCCTTCCGCGGACACCACGCGTTCACCGCCGAGCACAACTGCTTCTTCATCTTCCTCAACAGCAGCGAGGACTTCCTCGCCAGGTGAGCTGGGGGGGAGGGAGGCTGGGAGGGAGGGAGGGAGGTGGGGAGTGAGAAATGGGCAGGGTGGGGAAAGAGGAAGTGACCGAGTTAAGAAGAAGGGAAGGCGATGATGTCACGGCTGAACCTTGAGCCCAAACACACGGAGTATCGCGTCTCCTCCATGTGCTGCACTGCGGTGCACTCTTGCCGAGTAGCGGCAACGTTAATTTTTTTCTCCCGCTCAGCCTCGCAGCAGCGGCTTTTGGCGAACCATCGAACAAAGACGGTGGCCGCATCGCGCGGCGCTTTCAGACGCGTTCCTGCGGCCGTCTGGAACGCTCTTCCTTCCGATATTCAGAAGGAACTGGAGCTGTGCACTTTTAAATCATCGTCGAGATTGACAAACTCATCTCTTGAGAACGTCTTTTTTTTAGTTTGTTGTCCTTCCCCCTCACTTTCGATTATCTCAGTTGGCTACGTACAGTCCAAAAGAAGTTCAACACACATGAGACTAAGTGCTTCTTGTGGTGATGTTGTTATTGCTTGAAACTCTTGAGCACAGAACAGGAACTTTCCCAGCAGCAGCCTCCTCCACGTGTATCGAGTTTTAAGGTTTCGGGGGTGGGGTTAATGCACTCCCCGTTCCCATAATTACTAGCGCGTTCTACGTACGTATATACATACGAACGTCGCTGTGGAAGTCGTGTGCTCAAGAGCACGTGGCACTCCGTGTGTGGCCACGTGCGCTTTGTTAAACGTGCAAATTGGTGCACGCGTGTGACATCACGCGTGTCGCATCACGCGTGTCGCATCACGCGTGTGACATCACGCGTGTCGCACCACGCGTGTCGCACCACGCGTGTCGCACCACGCGTGTCGCATCACGGCATATTTGGGGCTTTCACGCGCCGTGCTGCCGCGCCGTTGCCGTGCCATTTACGTTGCCATGCCATTGTCAGCGGGGCGGAGGACCACCACGGCTACGTGTGGGAGCGCCACTACGCCGCGCTGCTGGGCCGCCTGCCGCACAGCGACGTGGTGAACTGCGTCGCGTTCAACCCGGCCGACCAGGAGATGCTCATCTCGGCCAGCGACGACCGCAACATCAAGGTGTGGCGCAGCCGGCGGGCCATGCGCCGCCTGCGGCTGCAGCAACAGCAGGAGCTGGCGGTGCAGTCGTAGCGGGAGACGCGGGGGGGGTGGGGAGGGGGTTGCGTGGGGGGTGGGATTCGGGCGGCGACTAGAGGGAACGGGAGTGACCGCGCGAGGCAGCGGGTTGACGCGCGCTGGCTGTGACGGTGATGGTAATGAGGGGGGGGGGGAGACGAGGACTAGGTCGACAACTCTAGCAGCAAGTGCTCGTGGTGGTGACAATGGCAGCAGCAGCGGCTGGAGCTGCAGTGGCTGCTTCGGTAGCGATCGCAGCGGTAGAAGTGGTGGAAGCGGCTGAACCTTCAGTTGCAACAGTTGCACCAATACCACGAACGATGTCAGTAGGTATGGTCACACCAGCGCTGTTGGCATCGTGAGCATGAACAATTCGTTGTGGCAGGAGGGGGCCGCATCAGAAGCTGTGAAAGCGGCCAGATGAGCAGCAGCCAGGATTTTACAAGAGGATCACTGGCAGCAGCAGGAGCTTCATCTGCAGATGATGACCACAGTTGAAGCAGATGATGACCACAGTTGACGCGGGCGCTACATTAGAATCTGCCGCAGAAGTGACCGCAAACGGTGACAAGCGCAGCACTGGGAACCGCTGTCACGGCTGCGTTGCAACACCGCAGGTGCTGTACCGGGGAGGGGTTGTAGCAGCCGTGATTTGCGAGAGCAATAATGGGAGCGTCGTAAAGAGTCGCACCGCTGCTGCGGTGATTTCCTGCGGCGATTTCCTGCGGCAACGTCCGCGACAGCAACACAGCACGAACAGCAGAGGCCCTTTAATAACAGCTGCAAGAGCATCCATGGCAACGGCATCACGGGTTTGGATGTGAAGCTCAACGGCGAGTGGCATCATTCCTCCCGCACGCGCGCGTCCGTTCGTTTGCATTTCCGCCCGAGCGGGGTTTCTTTTTTGCCAGTCGTGTGAAGCTGAGGTGGAAAACGGCGACATTCTCTTGCACGTAACCTCTTGGTCGCTCTCTTTCGACGTTGCACTACGCCGACGTTACGCGGTGCAACTTTTAGCCCCTTTTTCCCCACCGGCACATCCGAGCCGAGGCACCAAGTTTGTGACGTTTGTTACGGCACAGCTGCCGATTGTTGTTGTTGTATTTTTACACACAAATAATTCTTTATATGAAGAAGCTTCGTTCTCTTAGTTGAAAACTGTTTTTGCATTTTTAAGAAGCAAACGACGAATATTTCACGTCTAAGTTTACTCCTTTATTAATTTTCGTACCTTTTTTTTGTCACGTGGTGGGGGGGTGGGGGCTGCCTTATGCAATGGAAAAGGCGGCGGTAAGCGAGGGGGTTACACATGTAACCACAGAATTGTGTCGTGCAATTGTTTTAACCTTTTTGTTAATTATTTTTTGGCGCGCCAAACCTTTATTGCCGCGCATGGCTGTGAGCACGAGCGCACCGTTCTGAAGGCACCATCGGCACGAGGCGAGGTTTATCGAGCGTTTGAGGGAAAGTGACGTTTTAACAGGAGTTGCTGTCATGTAATTGCCGTGAGCTCGTTACCGACGCTCCCATATTTGCTCCCCGTGTAAAGTCTGCCTGGCTCGCGTGGTGGCACGCCGCTATACCCTCACACTCAGCAGGCAGGCAGGTCACGGGTCAGCTCAGACCAGCCGTCGTCTCAATGAACGCAAATCCACGTGGGCAATGGGATTTTCTGCTCAATGCCCGGCTCGAGAATAGCCAAGGGAAATCGGCACCTCCGGCGCTTGACTTTTGCGTGTAATGGTAGATCACAGTCGCTCAGTGTTGCCCCTTTAACGATTTTGTTTTAGCATTTTAAAATTAATTCAGAGGGAATTTATCACTTCGGCAGCTTGGGCAGCATGCAAGGGCCCCACGATTCTACGTCGGTCATTCGCGGTTGACGCCAAATGCATCTCGGATTTAAAGAAAACGATCGACGGGTTTATTCGGCCACAAATCTTGTGGCGATGGCACGTTCGGCGTGAAGTTGAAGGTGAGCGCAGGCCAACGTGTCGCCACTCCCGCTGGGGTGACGGTGAGGCGCTGTCCACCCCCCCCTACACCCCCCAGCGCTCGGGTACGGGGGGAAGTCAACCGTGGATGTTGACGATGATTTGAGGGCAAACTGGAATCTTCACCACTGGCTCAGGGCCACCGATGGGGGTGATTGATGCCACTACCACCACCTCACGCCTATTTATTTTATTGTACCAGGTAAGGCCCATTTTGAGCTGACCACAAATGACAGCTCAACGAAGTGGCTTATCGCGTGGAAATGCACAGCAGCCAAATACTCTTAATGCATGTTTCTAAATGTGGAGGGAAAAACCGGAGAACCCTGAGAAAAATGCACGCGACCACGGGGGAGAGAGAGAGAGAGAGACATGTAAACTCCATATATACAGCAGGTGTCAGCGTCGGGATCGAACCCGCGACCTCCTGTATACCAGGCGCGGGCGAGAACATCTCGCCACGGCAGTGCCAAGCTGGGAGATGACACGTGGGTGTGTTTATATGTGTGCCCACGAATGTTTGTGATGGCATCTCGTCTAGTTTTCCTTAATTTTACAAATGCATATCATTCTTTACGATATTCATGTTTTTGTTATTTTCTAATAAAAGAAAATATTCCCAAATCCTGTCGTGTTTCGTTTTTATTTCAAATTAATTTGCGCCATTTGTTGTTGGAAGTTAAGTTGGGAGATAACGCAGCCTATCATCCTTATAGGGTTGATAAATTAAGTACCACTTCGTCGGAAGGTTATCCTCTGGAGAGTCTGCACTCGCCATAACAACGTGGCATTTCCACCACTGCTTTGAGCAATGGTTGTGATTAGCGTTGAGCAGTGGCTCTTTTTGATATGCGAACTCTGCCCACACAGTGTCGGCGTGCTTAGGAAGTTTTGCTCAACAGGTATTCCTCGATTTACGAAAGTGATGTGTTCAAAAACGAAACGCCGAAATTAAATTTTATACTTCTGCTATGACCGTGTGGCTAATGTAGACGCAGAACAACAACGACAATTTCACATTCAGGGTGGTCAAGCCGAGATTACCGCGTCAGCCGGAGCAGCGGAGTCGTGCATCATCGCCGTGATGTCTCCTTCGTGATTGTGGATCGGGGCATTGCGTCGTTATAACGTTGTAGGGTCTGTTCTGGATGACCACAGTTGCACACAACAGTTTTAAATGTTCCATTTGTGCATCAGGGTATCCGTATCTACTGCCATGGTTTGTATGGGCGTGGTTTAAGGTGGAACATGAGCTTTGTGGAAGATCTCTCCAAGCTCTGTTGGAGACCTGAATGTGTTTCGGACATTCATTCCAACTCTCCTCCTAACCTAAATGTATACACCTATATCCCTTTGCACAACACAGGGAATAGAATAAGAAACATTACAACGATTGAACAATAATTTAAAACGACACAATTCACCTTTTCGGGGAACCCCAATAGATCTGCTGCGTGTTGGAATTCCCGGCGAGGCGATGTGTGGTGACATCGCTGCTGCCACTGCAAGAACACCGTGACGATGATGACGATGCAGCCACTCGCGGGTTGGTGGCTTCTCGTCTGACGACCTCGCGGCGCGCGTGGCCGCAGTGACATTTCACGCGGGGGAAAATTTCGATTTCGTTTGTCGAAAAAGTGTCCGCGATTTATCAATCGCGTTCACGCGACATTTCGTAAACGTTCGTACATCGAGGGATTCCTGTATCCAGAGAAGACCACGCCTGCGAGGAAACACAACGCTGAAACATTGGCCTCCAGACACGCCCGCAAACCCACTTGCTGTACTGCCGTCTGAGCACATGGCAGCCCAGCAGGTTTGGAGTTTCACGGCACTCGCTGAAGCTCTGGTGCCACCCAGCAAGTGCTTGATTGCTTGTGTTTAACCTCGCCAACGGAGTTCGCCTGTCTGAGCCTGCTTTCTGTACTGCACGCTGCATTATCCATTCCGTCTCCGATGCCCCATCTCCAGGCTTCACCCTCGTGGGTTCAAAAAAGGTGATCCGAAACTTTGGGATCGTCTTTTGGAGCGCTGGGCTTTGATTGGCGAGGAAACGCCAGCCGAGCATTTGCCACTCGTCTCGAGTCAACCCGTGGCACCTGCGTCTGTCCCGCGACCTCCTGCCAGCGAGCCCCTTCCACACTCCACGTGGCCTTCGTGGTGCACCTAGCCTGGCACAAGCACGGTGGTGAGATTACCGCCGCTTAGTGGCGAATGACGGACGTTGTTTCGTTACGTCCGTGCGTTTGAATCCGGTTCGATTTCTGGCCACGAGTAACATCGGTGGAGAGGGATCATGAATCTCTCCTGGACACCTCTTCATTACACCCATTGGTGGCCAGCAAGGAAACGAAGTGGGGTTGGACGTTCAGCAGTGGAGTTACAAAGGGATGCAAATTTGTGTGCGGGATAGGGGGTGTGCGGGATAGGGGATGTGCGTATTCGTAGACGTGTGTGCATGAGAGAGATTGTGTGATTGTGCGAGTGTGTGCATGTGGGGAGCGGTGGTGTAGCTGTTAGCGTGCTGTGCTGCGCTACGAAGCCGGCGACCCGAGTTCGATTCCTGCTCACGACGATTATCTGAGCCGGTCCTGGGTCTCCCCTAGGTCGACTCAGCCTCATGAGCACCTGGTACAGTGTGTAAGCATCGCCGCTGGGGAGACAATCGTGACCGGGAGTGGTGTTGGCCACCCACCCCCTCGTGTGCCGTGCTGGCCTTCGTAGGTGCTCACTAACAGCACTTGCCCCAACAGTTTGTGAAGACTATACAGGGGATCTTTGTCTTTGTATACATCTATCGAGAGCGGTGGTTAGCCACGTCTGGGATTCAAATATCACAGCGTAGTGCACGAACTGCTGCGCCACCACACACATGCACCTAGCCTGGCACCATCATGAGACGTAGTTTACACGCTCTCTACTACCGTTGCGCAGCATCGTGTCGTATCCATCTTCCGACTTGGTGAAATAAAAACCGATGATGTTGTCGATGATGATGATGGCATCCGTACGGTCACAAGGAACAGCTGACACCTTTCCCGTAGCGGCGTGTGAAG